AATTTTGTTATCAAATTTGTATGAGTTTCAATTTTGATGCTTGCAAGATGCAACAATTTGGTTTATGTAGCCAAAAATTGTTTGAGTTGTGAACTTGAAGCAAATTGAAATAATGGTGAAAAGCGTTCCCAGACATGGTAATTTGTTTATCATGTATTGGTTTATGATGTCATGTTTCATATGCCATGAGGGCAAGAAAAATGAAACTAAGATGGATCCTTATAAGGATTGAATAAGCTTATCAAGGAATGATAATCATGAAAATAGTCATCGTCAGAATTGTTTATGGTATATGTACACTATACCATTGGAAAACAATTTGACTTGTGATTATGAATGTGAAGCTATTTGTCAGAATTGTTTATGGTATATATAGACATATACCATTGGCAAACAATTTGACATGAGAGATAATTGAGACGAGTTTATTGAACTTGAAGTCTGAATTACTTATGGTATATGTGTAAATTTATACCATTGGCAAGTAATTAGACCATTGACTTAGAATATTCATTGGAATTGCTTGTGGTATGCAAAGTTACCTTCATGAAATGTCATTGGTAAGTAATTAGATGGTATTTCCAATCCAATCTGGAAATGCAACTGAATTACTTGTGGCATCTTAAGATACCTTGACCAATTCCATTGGTAAGTAATTAGATTATATTTCTAAGATCTGAATTGTTTGTGATATAATAATTGAATTAGTTCATACCATTGGCAAACAATTAGATCAATGTAGTGGTTGTAAAAGTTCAATAAGTAAAACCGTGGAAAATTAAATGGAATTATTCCATGATAGTTCGGCAAGTAGAAGAATTGTGGGGGAGATGTTTTGATGCTAGTTGAATAAAAAGTGCTAGTGATAATAAATCTACAACGGGTAGATTTTTACACTAGGTGGTGGAGTTGTTTCTTGAGCTTCGAAGAAACAAATGTGTATAATACTCCATCATGGAAGATGAATTTCTAGCCCTTCCGGCGGCTGGAAAAGAGGCAGAATGGCTAAGAGACATGTTGTTAAGTATAGAGTTGTGGCCACAACTGATGCCAGCCATTTATGTCTTTTGTGATAGTGAGGTTACTTTGTCTATAGCTTTGACAAGATTTACAATGGTAAGTCTAGACATATTAGCCTAAGACATGATTACTTTAGTATTTGATTACTAATATCGTGTATGTAAGATCAAGCAATAATTTGGCAGATCCTCTTGTCAAGGGATAGCCAAGAGGCATGATCTATGAGATCCCAAGGGAAGGGATTGAGACCTTTTGTGTAGTTAGAAGTAATGGGAACCCAACCTTTTCTTTAGGTATTCACTAATTAAAAGGTTCAATGTGGTAATAACAAGTTACTCTAACAGAGGTACTAATTTATTGTACAAGTAAATGAGTCCAAAGAAGGGTGAGTTATAGAACTCTTGAGATGAGTTATAGAACTCTTAATGAATTCATTTAGAATGTCACCTATGTGAGCAGTAAGAGTGGTGCCACTCTAACAAAGGTAGAGGTCAACTTTTGTGTATGCTCATGAAACAGGATTAGCACATGGCCATAATAGTGCTACCCTAGTTGGTGGTTGTGTTTTAGAGAAGAGACAAGTACGTGTGTGGCATCTCCGGTTATAGCTTTGGATTGTGACTCCTAGGCTTAAGCCCATCACTGATTCGTTATTAACTTTGAGTTGCTTACACTAGGTAAAGGTTCAAATCGAAAAGATACCTTTATGTATGTGTTACTTGTTCGATGCAGGTATTCTCAACTCTTGTTGACTAAGTGGGGGATTGTTAGAGTTAGTCAATAGAGTTGTAATACGAAATTTATGTGAGAAGTAAAGTATAAAGATGGAGTCTTTTGGCAGTTTAATTAATTAATTAATTTTTATATTAATTAATTAACGTTTGAATATTGTGAAAGGATATGTTCTTTCGGGAAAGGTAACTACCTTTTATGTGAAAGGATGTGTCTCTTCGGAAGGTAACTTCCAGTTTCACAACTATAAATAGATGACTGCCATAACTCTTTTAATGGCGTGAGATTAGTTCTTCTTCCCGTTTTTCCTTCTCTATTTTCATAAACACAGAAGTCTGCAAGATTACTGCTTCCAGACTTAAAATTGAAGGGACTCCTGGGGGCCGGTGGTTTGCTCGAGCCTACCAGCAATTTGTAGTGGGGGCAAATAACACTCTAAGGAGAGTAATTAATCACGCCTTCAATCAATTCTTTCCTACCAGTTTCCTGACAGCTGCTGCTCCTCAAAACCTTCCAACATGAATTGCACTCAAGAGAGTGTCATATAATGATTTGGAATATGATATACTAATTTGGACTCGCCGTAGAGCTAAATAGCGAGGAAACTATAAATAAGGGATCTGGGTTCATTTTTAAAGGCACCGCTATTTATGTGGTCAGAGTATCTCAGCATTTGGGGTAACCACAATCATTCATACCATAGTTCAAACATTTTATTTGTTCGTGAGAGATATACATTTTTCATTGATGTTCTCCTTCTATATGTCGAACTAAACACCCATGTTGTTTAGGGAGTGGTTCTTACATGAGATATGTACTATGTTTTTTTAGGTTATGCTTGTGATTTATTATTCTTGTTTGTTCATAATTGATGATTAGCATAAGTTTGACGAGATCAAGCTCTTGGTTAATGATTATATTACCAAACCATAAACGTGATTGAATCCGTTGATCCTACATGTTATTTCCAATATTTTTGCTTCATAACTGACTTGTGTTTGACGTGAGCACGTGCACAAGTTGGTTTGTTACTTCCATTGTAGACGAGACCTCAAACATAAAAATATGTCTTAAGAGTGTTTAAGTGGTTAAATCCAAGCAAATTAACAGTGATTAGATATTGTAGTCATTGCATTAGTCTAAATCCAAGCAAATTAACATTGATTAGATATTGTAGTCATTGCATTATTCGTGCATTAGAACACATTTACTTCCATTGTATGCAAGACCTCGTGGATAAAAGTATGTCTTTAGAGCATTGAAGTGGTCAAATTCAAGCAAATCAACATTGATTCAGTATGGTTAGTAATGCATTAGTCGTGCATTATAACACATTTACTTCTTGCATCTTTTACTCGTATTACTTGTTGCTTTCTTTTCTTGATTGCTTTAGTTCCTGCATTTTGTACTTTGTTAGTTAGTAGAAATCCTCAACCCCACTTGGATACTCGAATAATAGTAGCTGATCTAAAGTAGAGATATTGTCGGAGCTCCGTAGACTACAACAGGGAAAATTAGTTCAGGCTCTTACTTTTTAATGCATACTATAGTCATAAATTGCTAAGGGATATATCACGACCAAACCTTACTCGTGATCCCTATCTGGTTGTGATCTTATTCTTTTCCTCCTTCTTTGCAAGCCTCAAACGGCCTCTAAATTACCATCAATATGCCCCTAAACCTTAACATGCTAGGACATGAAACTAGACGAGAAAAACATATCCTAAAGTATGAAATAGAAAGGATAATGTATATTTTTTATCCAAATCTTTTTCAGATTCTTTTATATTATCCAAACCTATTAAAATTCTATTAATTAGCCAAATCTATCTTAATGCATCAAAATATTACCCATTTTTACTTTATCGTTAATAATTTTGTAACTCTTTTCTTAGCTAAAATACTAAAATTTTGGAATGTTGACCTTCATGTGTGTCTTCCAAGTCAGTATCATGTTGCCAAATCAATATTACTAACAAAATTGCTAACTGTAAGTTAACATTTGGCTAATTCTTAGTATTTCGATAGGTTTGGATAATATAAAAGAATCCGAAAAAGATTTGAATAAAAAATAGACATTACCCAAATAGAAATAAGCAAGTTACGAGCCAAATGGCCAATAAACTGTAAAAATCATCATAAGTCCTATACTATTGCTAATTAGCTTCGTAAAGCACAATATAACCTAAAATGGTGAAAGTATGATGATTATGACATTCAAATGCCAAAAATAGGTCCTAGAATATGAACACCCTACGTGTCATTAGTGTTGCATTGATAAGAACATATTAACTGTGATTCAACAATGGTATCCTTTTTATATATTTCAAGAAAAATAGTTTCTCGTCATTTTTACAATAGGTCTAGTGCTCTGTGTAGGGGTCAAATGGTCATGTGAAGTGCACTATGATGGGGTCTTAGGGGTCATAGTGCACTATTGTAAGGATTATAGGTGCATAGTAAGACATGATCCGAGCAAGATTTTTTCTTTTTTTCAAAATATATCAAAATGGATACCATCTTATAAAGAACTATTAATGTTTTACTTCGGTAAAAAAATTCAAATCCAGGTTTAAAAAATGAGATATTGTCCACTAAAATTAATAAGAGAGTAAATTATTAGACAAAATCTTACGGTTGAGATTGATTTAAAATTAATGGGTAGCATATGTAGTTATGCATAAGCTTATACTTATAAGGTTATCAATTGATATGTTCCCTCTTATACCTTGCATAAATGAACAGAAAAAGGAAGAACCAAATTATTAAAATTTTCATTAGGGAGACAAATATCCCTAAACGTAGTGGACAAATAGCAATTATGTTTATTAACTTTTGTTATAATGTATATTTTAAAAAAGTGGTGCAGAACGAATTAATAGAAATTTTGCTAATATTCGATCGTATTTCAGTTAGTGTGTTAGCTACCACAATAAAAGCGCGGAGAAATCTCCGTCTCCATGTCCCCACATAATGTGATCGTCTCTTCCACGTATATCTACCCTTCCCACAAACCCATGCCAACCGCCCACTATTCTTAATTAAACAAAAGAAAGAGAGAGACGGAAAAAAAGGAGGAATTGATCTTATATTTATTGTTGGAGGAGTCATTTTGGCGTGTCCTCTTCTTCTCTTTCTCCTCCTCCCCCGATTGACCTAGATCAAAGATCGAGAGCATCCTATTCCTGTACCACCGCCCGGTGGTAAGAAAAAAGAAAAAAAAAAAAAACAGAAATAAAGAAATCGTCATGGCAACGTCGGAGGAGAAGGGGAGAGCTCTTCCAAAATTTGGGGAGTGGGATGTGAATGATCCGACAACGGCAGAAGGTTTCACAGTGATATTCACCAAGGCCAGGGATGAAAAGAAGAACGGTACTTCCGGTGGAGGAGGAGGGGGAGGATCGGCCGCCGCTGCTGCTGATAAAAGGCGCAACGATGACAATAAGGCTCACGGTAAATCAAGCAAGAGATGGCTTTGCTTTACTTTTGAAGAGCGCTAATTTAAAAAATAGTGATCCCTCGCGAGTATTAATTACGATTTGTTATGATGACAATTAATGATGGGTGGGTGTGTTGATTAATTGTTTGGGAATCATTAATTCATTTGTTTCCATCTGATCGTCTTCTTCATTTTCAAATTGTAATTATATTTTGACGACATCCTTTTGTGTTTACTAATGGTGGATGACAATCACATTATTACTGGTCATCATCAAATGATCGATCACACTTTCATTCACGTTTCATGAGGGTTTCTTCTTACTATATCTTGTGTGCGTGAATCCTTTACCTATCTTGGTTTGTTTCCCTTTTATTTTATTTTGTTTACTTTTCTAGAAGTTTTATTTATGTCTAATGATCATCAATCAACTTTTAAATAAACGAACACGATGCAAATCTAGTTGGCAGCTGGAAACAATCGAGATGAGATCATGTGATTTAAGGGGTATTTAGTCATTTGAATAAGTCAATCTCAATCATTGATGATATATTTTTATTTTTTTTGGTCGGAATCGGAGCTCTAAATGGCGCTCCAACCTGTAAGATTAAACCACTCGAGGGGTCGAGACCCCAATAAGATCATAGTACAACCAAAATTTCAGCAAAGGAAAAGGGGACGTAAACACATGTTCCCCAACAGTTAGAGAGTGACCCAAAGACGTAAGAAAGTCGGCAACAAAGTTTCCTTCCCGATAAGTATGCTCAAGGCGGACCTGCCACTGCAGGGCCAGAAGTCAATTGATTCTGCAATGAGGACTGCATGAGGATTTGATGGTGATGCTGAATGGATGAGACTGATCGGTGTCTGCGAGTCAGTTTGAATAATGACCTTCCTAATCCCGAGATTCCAAGTGATCTTAAGACCGTGCATTATGGCTGCTAATTCTGCATGGGTGATAGATCCTCCCGCAAGGTTCACTGTATACGCTCTAAGAAAGCGCCCATCATCTCCTCGAACAATACCTCCCAACATCGTGCTTGGTGGAGCATGGGTTACAGACCCATCGGTGTTTAAGCAAGCCCATCCGGCCAGTGGCTGACGCCAGTGAATCATGCAATGCTGTGACACTCTCGCTTCTCCAATTATTGATGATATTTTCTAATTTAATGGTGGGAAACTCATCGGAATTAATAATGGTTTTTAATTTCATTTCACCATTTATTAAAAATCAAATTATAAGAAATAAATAATAGGGCCAGCAGGCAGGCACTAGGCACAAGACTTCATCCTGCTGTCGGAGAAACTTTGGTAGGCGAGAGAGTTGTATTTTGTACAACTGGTGTGCTTTGAAAATAATTTCAAATGATATGGAATTGAAAGGGATCAAATAGGAAATAATACTACGAATCATAGAACTATAATTAAATATACGATCGAACAACATTTATCAAATTTGTATAGTTTGTGTTATTAGTTTGTATACCAAAGGAAAGAATAAGGAAAAAATAGTTCTCAAATGTGGAGCCTCAAGCTTAATTAAGTATACGAGCCCTCATCAAGTGCAACACCAAATGCTCGGGACTTGAGATTTAACATCACTGACGAGAACCTCAATTTCAAAGAGTTTTTTTTATGGAACAAAACTTATAAGCAACCATCTAGCTAAGACATAAAACAAGCACTTTTTGGGAGGCAACGACCAACAACTCAATTTGTATTTTCTTTCGTTTCCCCCTTTTTTTAGTCGTAGTTTATGTCTTTGTGAGTTTATAGTCAATAACCGAACCCCTTGTGAGATTATTTTGTGTTTGATACCCAAGCTACTCTCCTCTCCATGGTATGTTCTTTTGCTAAAATGTGTCTCAAAGCTAAAAAGCGCGCAAAGAAAGTTATGTTAGTATATGGGATTGGTTTAGCATATATGGAACCTTGAGCAATGAATGTTTCCACCACCTTAAATACATTATTCCCCATGTCTTAGACTTCTGATGTTGTGTTACGTCCACTTTTTGTTTGGAGGATTTGGGGGTATTGGGCAACCATTCATTTTCATGGGATGTTTTATAAGTATGGTAAGGACCATTTTCATGAACCTTCTATATTTGAATATCGATTGTGGTGGTTGTTAGTATCTTTCTCATGTTACTTCGCAAAGCAATGTTGATGGTCATCCATGATTCTCTGTTTTTTTTGTGTCCCTATATGTTGCACGAGTTGGTTTTCAAATGAATGTCTTTGAAAAATCTCGTGTTTACTTGGTTTGCTTGGGGATAAGTAATCGCTCGTAACTAACACAAGAAAAATAGGCAAGGGTACCTATTGTTCTAGGACAGTATAGCAGGAAGCAAAGTCGTATCCACAGAGACTAAGTGTACTAGTACTTGGCTTTTACCTATTATTTAGTCAATCATTTTTAGTGATATTTTAGATATAAAAGCACACACAATGATAAAAACACAATAGAATAGTTTTTAAATTAAAATCAAGTGGAGAAGGCGTTGTCCCGGTAGTGAATCCTTCTAATATGCATTTTATAGACGAGTTGAATTACCATAGACGAGTGTTCTGATCTTAGACCGTGAAAATTCTCAATTTACTGTTAACCCGTTTGCACATGTATTAACACCCTTTTGACTTAAGAATAAAGTGCAACCTTGGCTTACAAGACTTTTAAACCAAAGCATTAACCAGACTTGTGAATTTCTATATTAGGTTTTTAAGCTAATCCAGAGGAACTACGTGACCCCATCGCCGGTGGCTCAGATTAATTCCTTCTTTTCACGAGAGAACTAACATGTAAAATTACCTCACAGTCTCATTTACTTGTATCAGACAAAATATACAATAAACGCGTACTATTGATACTTGCACATGATAAGTCGAGAGAAGATTGTAAGAATGAGAACAACACGTCTATATCAAAGATACCACTCAATCCATGTAAAACATACTAGGGTTCATCAAATCCAGAACAACTAGAAGATTAGCTAGACATGATGAGATTTAGAAAGATGAAGGTTGAGAACATTACCATGATGATAATCCTTGGGCGAAGACGGTGGAAACCAACCAATCTAAAACCATAAGTGATTATAAAAACACCTCAGAAAAGAAGCTTACTTCGATAATCTCAATAACACAATATATCACGGTATTCCCAAATATGAACATGAACATGAGAACCACGGTGAATGAAATACGAGTGACCCAACCCTGACTATCACAATAAAATCCCATCTAAGGTCCAAGTATAAACCTTAGATGGTGCAATATAGGGTAAGTATGTTTAAATATTGACCCAGGCATGTCCACGTAACACTACTTCGACGGTTTGAAACATTATCCAGTGAATTAGTTTTGGTGAAAACACAGGTGTAAAACTAAATTTCTTTGCAACGGTAAAATGGATTTGACTCTTATTGAGAAAGCTTCACTCGGGTGTTGCTCCCCCTAGCTAACAATTACGACTTGAAGAATCGAACGAACGTGTTTGGTTAGGGGGTCATAAACTGCAAGGAAGTCTAACAAGCACTCAAAGCTACCCTCTTAGCCTCTAGGTTAAGGAATGGGATACGATCCAAGCCACTAACGTGACCCTCTCAACCTATCGACTAAGGAATGGTTAGACTTTACCCTTGAATTGGAGTTCGGATGGCCCCCCACAACCAAACCCTAAATGCTAATACGAAATAGGAGGTTTGCCCATAGCTAACCTAGAATAGGAGGCATAAGATGCCCAAGGAAACCCATCTCTAATAGAGCCTCTTAGGTTAAGGAGGGTTCTCTCTAAACTAGCTTAGTAGGCATTGAATGCCCAAGAAACCAAGCTCAAATTGAGCCTCTTTGGGTAAAGGAGGTTTCCACTCTAAACTAGCCTAGGAGGCATGTAATGCCCAAGAACGCCCATCTCCAATGGAGCCTCTTTACCTAAGGAGGTCTCCTCTCTAAGCTAGGTTAGAATGACAATTAGATTGATAGGCTTTCACATACAACAATCATTTCTGAATAATACCTCCTCATTCACATTAAAATACAACCACACACAAATCATTCAATTCATACAAGTATTTACATAATTGTAGCTAGGGTTTACAAACACCCAAGTGAAAGAAGGGACTACTCCATGCTAGGAGAAGGGAAAACAAAAGAGAGGGAAAGGAAAACCATCAAGAAGATGCAAGCCTTGCTCCTTTTGCTGAAGAAACCCAAATCCGTGCTTGGAGATGAAACCCTAGCTTTTCCTCTTCTTTGGTTCGTCAATTTCTCACTCTAAAATCAGAAGAAGGAGAAGTTTTTCTCATACTAGGTCTCTCTCCTTCCTTCTTCCTTTCAGTTGCCTTTTAATTGAGATCGTGACCAGTTCACGGCCTGATTTCATGGTCGTGAACATTAAAAAGCGTAGGTGAACTCACTGCTGAGACCAAAACACACCTCTTCGTTTGCTCGGGTTCACGGCCTGTGGCTTCTGTTCATGTTCTTAGCGACCGTGAACAGCCTGGCCTCAGTAACCTGAAAACCCTCTTTGTTCGCTCATTGTTTCACGGGATTTGGCTCGAGTTCACAGTCCTGTAAGACCGTGAACTCCAATGGCAGACCGTGAACTGTGGCTGTCTCCTCCTTTTTGCCCGATTTTCGCTCCTTTTCTTGCAACTCTCGACTCCGGGGATGGTTTCACCTGTTAGGATCTCAAACACACTGAAAAGCAAGAAAACTCACGCAAAACCACCCCTTTTGGAGTTCAATTGCAACAAACGTCCAGGATAATCGGGGGAAAAATGTACAATTAGGCCCGAATCAACGAGATATGATTAACGAAATAAAAATAAGTAACAAGAGTTTGGAATGGAAATGGACAGAGTTTCAGCTAATTTCAAACACAAGACAGAAAGAAAGACCAAAGTCTCAAAGTAGGGGTATGTCCCTTTTCTTATCTTGCAAGCTTCTATTTATAGGCAGCAACAGCTCTAACGTGGTTTGAGAACAAGGCCGTGTTCCAGGCTGTGTTCATAGTTGTGCGCCAGATCAATGTGTCAACATTGCACAGATTGATTGGCTGAT